AAAAATTCAAAGTATATGTGCCATCACAGGCCCTTAGAAACAAAATTACACTACAACATGGCAAAAAATCACAATACATAAAAAATTAGCCTTTACTAAAACATAAAACTAACTCAATATAATATAGAATAACCCTTTAATATAAAAAAGAAATAATAGTCCACAGAAAACTGGCACTTTTAAAATATAAAACCAAAATGAGAAGAAAAGATATAGCAAATTATATCAAATATATATAAAACTGACTAAATTTATTTTTATATCAATACTAAATAAAAGCAGAAAAAAATAAATAAAGTGGCAAAAGTCAGGCTTAAAAATGTAAATTTAGATGACTTGTAATTGGTCAGAAGTTCAGACAAATGTGTGGGTTGTGAAAATGGTGGTAACTGCTTTAAAGCTATTACTTTGGTGAAACGACATTTCTATAGGTTTCATGTGTACTCACTTCTATACTGCATGAAGAACATGTACCAATAACACATGTGAATGACTTAGTTTCCTTGATTTTACTTGATCAAGACATACAGCTGTGTCGTCTACTGTTATGTTTGCCAGACAGCAACTGAAATAATATACCTTGTGATATAGTTGCATTCCCTCCACTAATGTTTGGTTGTTATGTAAATAGAGTCCATGATTAGTAGGATTGAAATGGGGTCGAGACTGCAGACATCTGGTTCCTTCACACAATAGCTGACTTAAGCTAGCTGCTGTTATATCACAACACTCTAACTTTTGACAGTGATAATCTACTAACATTTACATAATCTCTCCCTCAAGTCTTTCTTCTAGATAAAAGTCTTAGTACTTACTAGACATGACTTACGAAATGGTACTGTACAGGTTTTAGTTTCTGTCAGTAGCCTCACAGCTTACATTTCCATGTATTATAATTGCACTTGTACTGGAATAATGTTAATAAAATGTTCAGTAAAAGTGTGTGCCTATAAAGCATTCCAATCTGTATGACTGAAAATATTCTGCCATAAATAAAACACTGGTCACATCAAGTTTACATTTGATATGGTATCTAAGCTGCTGTCCTTGAATTTCATTCACTACTGATAATTCACCACTCATGAATATTTTGATTTGATCCCATCATAATATCTTGCATTACTCTTACAAAAAAAGGTGGGTTTTTCTCAGGTGTAGTGTAGGTTCATTTGTTACTCTTATCCTTTCATAAAAATTCAATACCTGCTAAATATTTCAATATCAAAATTGAAAAATTTCATTGCTAGCATTAGTTAAAATAACAAATTCGCTTTATTTTCAAATAATACTTTCTAGGTCAAAAATCACTAGGTCTTAATATTTAGATCAAATTATTCATTTCCATTCACAAGTTACTTAACAGTTGTGTTCTTTTTGCAATTGATTGACTTGTGTTATTTAACACTTGTAAACGATTTTATATAACATTTATACACGTGTACAAAACCTCACACATATATCTATTTATACACGTATATTGTCATATACATATATCAAAAATACACGCCATCACATACCCTATTAGATGACAGCAGACTGTCTCCAACTTGAGCAAAAATTACTTCAGCAACCTTCTTGGACTATCTTTGCAATGTATGTCTCATTAGCTGTGGTAAAGTAACGTAATGCCATCTATGAGCTTTAAAACGCAATGTACTTTCTTTCAGCATCATGAAATAAATAACTTTAGTAGAATCAAGTTAAAATTCTTATCAGCCAAAATTAATATTCACTCTATCACTACATTGTATAACAATTCACACTCAATGAAACACAACCTGTGGAGAAAGTATACACTGTCCAAATGTATGGAAGAGAACCTACCAAGGACTATTTGGTGTGCTCCATAGAACTCCTGCCACTCATCTAGATCAAGTGAGTGATTCTCTCAAAATGTCAAATGGCATTTTACCTCAAAAAGTACCTTGATAGATAAAAAAGCAATGAATGCTATTTCTTTTCAGTAATTGTTTTTTCAAACACGTGACCATACAAATATTTTGATAATTAAGCAGTTATCATTGAATATCCAGTGGATATCTCTCAATGAAATTATGCCCAATAGCCGGGAAAGCAAGGATTGCAAAGCCATTTCAACGTAAAGGCCATATTAGCTGTGCACTAAGTAAGTGGTAATCATACAATGCAGTGCATACATCGTACCTCACAATATTGCCTGATAACTGGAAATGAAAGACTGGAATGCTCCTTCAGCTTAGTTCATGGACTCCTAGCCATCATTTTCAGTCACTCAGGCTGTTGATGTACTAAACATTACATATACTAGTTCCATCCATTACAGATTATTATAATCAGTTGTTAATTTTAGCTATATTGACCAGGAGGTTGTTGGAATCTGTTTGGCTGACTGTCAAAGCTGTATCTTGTCTTTAACTCTAGTGTTTCCTAATCTGGTTTATCATGGATACCCAGATAAGTACTTTCAACTCTCTTCCTCAATGGCTGAGTTGATGTGACTTGAGACTGCATCCTTAGCTTCCTCTGATTCATCTATCTCGACCTCTGATTCCTGGTCAAGCCATTGCATAAGAGGTTCCTCAATAATTTAAGCTTTAGGATGTGTTTCACACATTTTTGTGCATCTACAATCTACTATAATTTGTAAGTCAATGGAATGTTCTACTGGAGTATGAGGTATGAGCCTGTCTAGCTGGCAAATACCAAAGCCATACTCATTCTCCAACCTGGTTCATATAATCCTAACCTATTTCATTATAGCACTTTTTCTGACATATCATGGTCTTGCAGTATTCACAAATACGACCCATTTCCTAACAATTATCAGACAAAAAAAAACTCACAATAGCAGAAGATTTCCCCAGGACCAGTGAGAGTGTTCTTGAGAAGAAGAGTAGAATAAAGCAAAATGATGACTGTTTGTCAGATGACTTCAATTTTTTATTGTACTAATAAACTAGCAAAAAACACTGAAACAGCTCGTGTGCACTTGCAGATAATATGTCAGTTCATTCATCTGTAGTTTGTGTTTAGCCTTGTTACTTTTCTGTCTTAGGATTGGGTGCCCCAAAACCAAATATGATGATTTTCCAAAAAGAGAGAGCATGTCCTTCTCGTATACTGACTAGTGGAGAACAAAACAGTGAAAATGTGCTTGAATTTAGAATGTTAACTTGCTTCATTTGTCCAATGGACGACATCACCTCGTAACCACTGTTCTTTAACAGTATTGGTTGGTTGTCAATTTCATTTAATGTCATAATTGACCAGTCAAGGATATCTTAATTTGAACCAATTCAATCTGTATTTCATATACAATGCTGATATATCCCTGCAGGCAAATGAGATATCACTTACTAAAGAACAAAGGGTAAATCAACAAGAATAAGGCAAAGTTTATGACTTTCTGAACCATGTATTGCTATCATAAAATTGTCTATTTTATTATAGAACATAGAAAACCCACGATATGTCCACATATAACAGTCTTTCCTAGCTGTTGCAGTTCTTAACCACTCTACATATTCTTGTGGGCATTTTGGGATTTCTGATCTGGAGGTAGGATCACACATCATATCAAGAAGGAGCTGGATTTTCTACTTGAATAATTGCATATTTGGCAAACAACCTGGTAATCTGATGATTTGCATTGTATGTCATCATGATGCATTTACCATATGCTTACAGTTTGTATTATGCATTCTGCTAAACCATCAGATTGGCATTGATAAAGCAAAGTGTGCATCTTCACTACAACTAATGTTATACATCTGAGAGAAAAGTTGACAATTCAAAATGGCTCCCTGGTCCATTGGGATCTGTCCAAGTCTCCAAACCAAGATATCTAGTACTTCACTAACACATCAGCTATTGACTGAGGCAGTAGATTAATTAATAGATAAGCCTTGTTCCACTTCAGGAAGTATCTGATGATGACAAGTAATGTACCAATGACCTCATTCAGTTTCTGGGAGTAGATCAGTAATATATAAGGCCCTCCAGACACCACACTAAAATAATGATCCTCAGTCATCTGTGTATCTCTTGCAGTGAGGTTGATCCTAGGAAAGACCATGCGCTGCTGTTATGGGTGCGATATTGGCAAAATCGTATTGTTACGACAGCGGAAGTCACGTGACGCTGGTAACACGTAATGAGTATCTAGAAGAATCGGGGAACATCACGAATAATCCAGTATTTGCTAGACGCCCTCTATTCCTGTACATAAGCAGGCAAATAAAGCGAGATAATTAATTGAATTGCAGACAAGCAGAGATAGAGAAGAACAAATGAGTCAAGCGCGGTAGTGACCGTAAGTAAAGTGCGTGAATCGTTGTGATTTATAGCGTGTGTTAAGTAAAAGTGACTGTAGAAATTAAATGTATTGCAAAGTTGTATTGAAAAAGAATAAACTAGTTTTATTTAAGAAAAGACTTGTATCGCTGAAGTTTTTCGGAAAGAATTTCTACGGAAAATTAACCAACGACCAGAGACGTAACAATATAATATGCAAGAGATAGGAACACACGGTTTATTCATACAACACACCAAAATGAAGAAATCTAATAAACCAAGTGGTAATAATGATAGAACTACCAATACTTACGCATCTTGGCTTATTCTCACACTTGCATATATCATTAAAAATAAATGCATATATACAGGTCACACTGATCCGTTCATTGTTTTCAATAAAAATGTTCTTGGGGAGAATATTCACGGCCCCAGACCTCCCTAAAAAGTGCTCACTTTCTGCTCTTGCATTTAACTTTTTCAATAGATATCTAAAAGTTGACAGTTGTGTATATATATTTTTGATCACTAATAGTAATAGTGATAGTATATCTGGACTCATGTCTTTGAAATTCTGAAACTGTATAATATTGTTATCTATTCAAAATATTATAATATATATTACAGAAAGGCTCATTTTCCCTTTGTTGATTAAATTCATGTATTTATTTTTAACAGTTAAATTATAAAGGAAAAGGTAACTGTGATGTTGAATGGTAGGTAGCTACTCACATGACATGGGATGGAGAAAGGTTATGGCTGTACGTTTTATGTGCGTTAGGGTTTTAATAATATTGTATGGTAATTAGTATACCATTAAACAAAAGGAGATATAGGTAACTTAGAAACTGTTATATAGGAAACCAATTACCAAGCATGTAATATTATAATACTCTTAAGATAAGTGTACAGGGAAAAGTTAATTTATTGTTTAATACAAGCTTAGGCCTATGTGGAGTGAAGACAAGACGACAGGCAACAAGGTAGGTACTACAATCTAGACTACAGTAATTAATACTACTACGTAATCAACTCATATAACTGAACAATAAAACGCAAACTTTAAAGTTAGGACTGACAGTTAAATAGTAAAGCAGTGAGTGATAGTAATGTAAATGCTAATTAATTTAATGATGTAAACTGTAACTTGTAGTGTAAAACCAAACAGATTATTAGTATGTACAGGTACCACAGTTATGAATTGTTAATCTTCTTTGCTTTGTGTACTGATACTACGAGAGACATTATACATTCTCACACAAGGGACAACAAAACTCAAATATTAAACTGATAAATATTAATGGCCATTTTGAAAGAATTTAAAATAACATTTGACAGACAACAATGGGGCCACTTGACTCATTGAATATGTCCTATTTATTTCATCAAACACCCATCTGTCTATACCCGACCCCGATTTAAAAAGTTCTCATCAAACCCTCTTAAACTCTCAATAAACCTGTTGCATATACCACTAGGGGGTTTGTGATTTTTAAATAATGAAAATAACAAAAACATTCTTACACCATTGGATTACACAGTCACAAATTAATAGATTTACACTGCAGGTTCAATTATGTAGTTCTAATTAATGAAAAACAATTAGAAAATCATACCTATCAATAGATCTTTCACACCATGTGACCTTCCCTTTGTAACAATGTTAACAAAATGTCAGTGATCGATATCAAATTATTGCTTTACCTGGTAACCTGAGACTGCGTGAAACCCATATCAAGACAAAATAAAATGTAGTCCCAATAAAATCCATCAATTTGATACTCGTACACATGGATTCATATTATATGGATAAATTAAATGAAAATTTTCAACAACCAAATGTTAAAAATGAAGTATGAGTTTACCTAGTTACCTTTGAAAGTGTAGGAGAGATTATGTAATCACCATGGTTGTAAACTTGAAATACCATGATTGACAGATATGTACTAGTAGTAACCTCCACCTGTCCTACATCTTGTCATGATATAATTGATACATCATTCATACTACTTTTATCATAGGCAGTTGTTGCACCTGTCCTTTTGCTCTAGCTACACCTAATGGTATCATTTTATCAAACTGTTGTCAGGACATCATATTATCTGTTTATGATGTAAAGCAAGTTGTTGGCAAGACAATGTATAGTCTGTTTACAATTCCAATGAAACATTTTTTGGCATGCAGATTTGATATGGACAGATATAACTTTGTATCGGCTTATGCATTATGTAATATGCACCATAAAGTAGTGTATGGCTTTGTTTCTACAAATTCGGTGGCTAAAAAGAATTATAAGTGGTTTTAAATTTTTGTGTTTTCAAATAGAAAATGCTTCTGGATCCAATGACCCAACAATCCCAGACCAAAGTATAGCATTAAGAGAGCTATCATTTGGTGTATCACTGATCATTATTGGTCCAACCAATTTAAACCTATACACTGTTTTTGGTTTCAACATTTACTTGCTGGTCACTGCTAAATAGTGGAAGAAAGGTTTAGCAATCATTGCCCTGTTTTTAAAGTCAGTTTACAACTAGTGGGAGTATGGTTGCCTTGAAATAAATTGTGTAAACTCTGTATGTATTATTACTGTAGATGTTTGTTGTACAATAATTAGTATTTTGTTTATGGGAGACTTGTATATTTGCAACTGTGATTTTTGCATTTTCATACTTTCATGGTTGGGAATTATAATTCTCTGGGAATCCCTACTACCACATTTGAGGGGAGTCTATTTTAAAGTCTGTTCATCCTGTTAGCAACTAAAATTGCCTAATTTACAGACAACTTCTATCCTGCAAAATCTTAAATCTATGTTCAGTAGTTCTACCATACTTATTTTCATTACAAATTTGAAATAGAACTTTGGGTGTGTCCATTTTGACAGGTGGTCTTATCATTAAACATTACAGGGAAGTTGGTATTTGGTCAGACCTCTTTACTGATAGGCTCAACTAGCATGTGGAAAACCTTGTTTCCCTAATCTTTTGATCTTCTTCAAGGGTGTTGCTGCTTATGTAGATGAGGGTAAAAGTATGGATTTGGTATATCTGGGTTTTCAGGAAGCTTTTGACAAAGTGCCATACAAAATACTAGTAAAGAAAGTTATGTCTGTGGATGTGGAGGATAGATTAGCTCAATAGATTAAGAATTGGTTAGATGAGAAAAAAATAAAGGGTGGTAATAAATGGAGTTCAGTCAAATGGGATTGGAATTGCAAGTGGGGTACCTCAGGGCTTAAGGTATGGTAAAAAAATTGGTCAAGTTTGCTGATTGTGTTAAAGTTTTGGGTGTAGTTGGCAGTGAGGAGGATGCATGTGGACTACCATAACTCATACTATAATTACAACCTTGATGAAAATCAACTCGGTTGTGTCATGAAAGAAATCGATCTTGATGTTATGGTTGATAAAGCTCTAGTCTTCCAGGCAGTGTGTTATTACCAATGGGAAAGTATGTAGGATTTTAGGTTGTATCTGCAGGAATATTGGATATAAGGAGGATATGTTTATGTGTTAATGGAAAGACTCCATAATATAGCGTTAGACTATCATTAAACAAGTAATAAAATAAAATAAAGATGATGTAGGGATGGCAATGCGATAAAGTACAGAAACAAGGTAGGGATGAATAAAAATTTCTATATAAGTAGCCAACTCTTTCCTAGAAACATTTTATCTGCAACTAAATGTTGAATTCCTTTTGTTTGCATGAATTCAGGTTTGAATAAGAGCATTTAAACTGAGTAATGCTATATAGCCTTACAATGGCTAATTCCTATAAGTTTGTAACATTGACTCTGTGGCTACGTATGTAGGGATTTTTGTATGGTTTTGTGTATTCATCCCTACCTTGTTTCTGTACTTTTTGGCATTGCTATCCCTGCATCATTGTATTTAAAAAAAGAATATTACTTGTTTCCCCCTTTTTTTTTTAAATACCAATGAATATTTTATGATGAATGGCAGTCACTATGAAGACAGCATTTTTAGCATGGCATGATAAGTTGTCTTGATGGACACCATCTGTTGAAGTTTGTGAAATGCTATACTGCTTCTGCACTTCCTAAGTTAAAATGCAGAATTTTGATGTGTGAATCATCACCACAGTTCAAGTATTGGTGAGCTAACCCTTCTGATGCCAGAATCTGAATAATCAGCAGTTACAGTACTCGCTGGTTCTCTACCTTAGTGATGTTTTTTGGCTAAACTGAAGGTCTTAATAGCTTTTGAAAACCTAAGCTAGGTGTTTATAATGGCCTTCAAGATTTGGGAGTCCAAGAGAATTATTCCTAGCCACAGAAGCTTGACAATGCGAAATCACAGTTGTGAGTATATAAATCTCACAGAAATAAAAATACTAATTATTGTACACCAAACAACAAATAGAAAATGTCTATAGCGCTAATAAATGCTGAATTTGCATGATTCATTTCAAGGCAACCATACTCCCACTAGTTTCAAATCAGCTTTAAAAACCATCACAAAGATCACTAAAGCTCTTGTCCACCATTTGTCAGTGAGCAATTGTTAAAACTGAAACCAGGGTATCTGTTCAAATTGGCTGGATCAATAAGGATCAGTGATACATCAAATGATAGCTCTCTTCATGCTTTACTTTGGTCTGGCCAGTTTCATTGGATCCAGAAGTATTTACTATTTGAAACACACACAGAAAAGTTTAAAACCATTTAAAATTCTTTTTAGTCATTGAATTGGTAGAAACCATAGTATACAATAAACTTTGTGTTGCAGACTACATAATTAATAAACCAATACATAGATATGTCTACCCAGTTCAAACAGACAGCATGTCAAAAAATAATAAATGGGGATAGTAAACAGCATATATGTTGCCCTGGCAACATGTTTTACATCATATCATCAGTTATAAGCAGACTATGTTCTTCTGAAAACAATTTACTATACATCATATCGTTGGGTGTGGCTACAAATGACGTATCAATTACATCATGACATGATGTAGAATGGTAAGAGTTTACTACTGATACGTACCTGTCAATCACAGTATTTTGAGTTTACAACCAATGTGATTACAAAATCTCGCTTATTTTTTCATATGTACATAGGTAAGCTCATACTTCATTATTAACATTTGGTTATTGATAATTTTAATTTTATTTATCCATATAATATGAATACACATGTATGAGTTTGAAATGGATGAACGTTAATGGTAGGTACTACATTTTATCTTGCCTTGACATAGATGTCACACAGTATCAGGTTATCAGGTAAAGAGATAAATCACTGATATTTTGTTAACATTGTTCCAATGGGAAGGGAGTGTGGAGCAAAAGGTCAATTTACAGGTACGTATTTTTAATTGTTTTTCATTAACTTTCTCAATACGGGCTCAGTCAATTTGACTGCCCACGTGACCTATTTTTACTCGTTTTAACCCTTTTCCAGAGGGGTCATGGGTGAAAGGTCATGTCATCTCGTTTGTTGACTTGCATTCACAATTTTATTGAACTACTATTTCATGAATTTATGTCTATAAGTTTGCTATCAAACTGTAGATTATAATTTAAATATTAGTATTATATACATTACTTAATTTCTTAATTTAAAAGTAAATATTAAAAAACTTAGTTAAACATTGATTTTTGTGTGTCATGTGGTATGTTGACTGCAGCACTGGTTCAAATTAGATATATGTGATGTCAAAATACTAGGTCTTTAGTTTCATATGAATTAGGAACTCAAATTACCGATATTGACAAGCTAGAATATAAAATAAGAACCTCTTATCTTTTCTGTTTGGTAAGATATTGCTCATGAAATGAATCAAACACAGTGACACCCTGCCTACTTCTTTCCAATTTTGGAAATGCTCCCTTATATGCACTTCCATATATGACACGAATAACCAATTGAAAGCTTTGAATGTCTCTATAGTGGCTTTCTTAGCCATTTTAAAGTCCTAGGATGCCATTTTTTTCTTTCAAACCAAGATTTCAAGGAGGTAGGTTGTGTCTTTAGTCTGCTCAAAATTTCATATTTTTTAGACTAAAATATAGCTTAGTTACTACGTTTGATAAATTACCGAGTGCTACTGCATTATGTGACTCAGAGAGATACAGGTTAAGAGTTTATTTAATATTTCATTTGGTTTTAATGTATAATCATTTACTCAACACTAATAATATAAAATACCTTAGGTGTTTTGAAAATGTAACATTCTGTCATAATTTATCATTTATTATACAACAAACTAACTTGTTACGTATTTGTGGATTTCGTTTCCTCACTAAACTGTTAATTTCAGTGAAAGAAATATGACATAGAGAGGTCAGATCTGTTGTTTGATTTGATACTTAATGGAGAGTAAAGGATATACATCAAAACAAAATGCTTACATTCCACCACCAAATGAGGCCTACTTTCTTTATTTGTTCACTCATTCAAGCAGCACAGATGAGCTGTGAGTTCAGCAAAACTAGTTTATTGCAGTAGAAGTAGGAAAACAAAGTACATTAAGCTGCTGCTTCATCTTTTCTATGCTAAAATTCATGTTTGGTGAAGAAAAGAAGCTCACAAATAAATAGATTCAAACTTCAATAATATAAAAATGTGGATTATAAACTATATTTTGATGCCAAACTTATTAACATTGATAACAAAAGAGCTTAAATGTTGGTTGTAACTCTGTATAAAGGTCATTTACATGCACACTTTGACTCTCCCTGGCGATAGGATTAATAGATTAGTGTCACAGTTCATGAAAATAATCACCTACTGAAATTAATATCTTCACTTATTACTATTTTTGATTATTTTATCTATCCAAGTCTCATCAGAATAATCGATTAGTTGAATGTAATTAATTAAGCAATTAGCAAATTTTAGTACTCAACCAGCTCTGAAGAAATTGCTTGCAAACTAAAAAGAAAGCAACATTGTTAAGGCTAAGAATTAAAAGTTGCCTTTTTAAATCAGCTCTACTGTGTAAAAAACAACAAATAATTGTAACATCCTGCAGGCCTAAGTAACACTTGTGAAATTGCTTAATTGTAGAGCAGCTATAGTTTGTTTAACTACTTAAAAGAATATTTAATGGGAAAAAGAATTCTTGTATTCAGAAGTATTACTTCATGCCTTGAATGAAGTAATACTTCTGAATACAGGAATACAAGCCTTGAATGAAGCCCTACATAATTAACATGTACTGTGCCAAACAATTATGATGTAATTATCATTAGACTACAGTCCACCACCAGTAGGAGGTGAACGCGTCTTTCATGCCCAGTAATACCCATCAGCATTAGCACTGGAGAAAAGGCTTATTCTTTCTTCAACACTGTTTTTTAAAGAATTAATGACATTTTTGCACTTATTAAGTTTTTTGCCACTTGTATCTTCTGGTATGTGTCTTTTGTTTTTTCTTTCTTCATTTATCTTTTTGTTGAATCTTGAGCTACTTTGGTGCACAAGTTTTCATCGCTTTTTTCATCTTTGGGATCTCCTTTTTATTATTTTTCCCAATCTCTCCATCTTGTCTTCATCTCTTACTTACTTGACTTTGTTAGAATTATAGGTAAATTTGCATATATACTGTTTTCACCTTGTCCTTAATTTTCTTCTTCCATGGTGTCCCAGTTATCTTCAGTTTTTTGTTCTGGGATGTACTTTATAAAGTTGCCTTATTTTCTTACATTTGTCTCTCTTAGTCTTCTTTCAGAGATCTTTGTGTTACACACTTTCTTTGTGGTAAGGTTTTTTTGAGGGGAGTGTTCTTATACTTCAAAATCTTGAGCTGATGCAACTCAGCAATCATCTCTTCTCACCTTGTTTTCTTGCCATTTCAGACAATGGGGCTCTACCTGGTTTTTCATCGTCTACAGCCTCATAGGATCACCTCCTCTCCTGTTTCTAGCCTTCTTGTTGCTATCCAACATCTACCCTCTCTGAGTGCTGACCATTGCAGTTCTTGGAGGTAATATGAGTCATTTCTGGTCCAATGGGAGCTCAGCTCTCCAACTTTCCACACCCATTTTCTACTGGGTTACTTAGTTGTTTTCTCAGAGGTTTATTTTACTTATCTTTCCACTCCATCTCACCTGATTACAGTGACATGGAATAAATCCTAGACTCCACTCTGGGGATTTACTATTGTCTTTTTGTCATTCCCACAAAAATGGAAGGTGGCGTCCTATCATAGATCTGTCCCATAAGAACCAAATTTGGTCGTTTTTATTGTTTTAAGATGGATAGTTTTCTCATTGTGTGGTGAGTACTCTTCTAAGATCTTGATCAAAGTCTGGGAAGTTTTCTCCACATCCCAATTTGTCCACCCACTTTTTCTTTTCAGTGGCTTGTCTACAGTTGATTCACAGCCTTTCCTTTCAGGTTGATTACAGTTCCATATGTTTTCCATTGAGTCTGGTGGACTTTTGCTCAGAGGGTACATTCCTGAGGTGTAATGTTCTATATGCTATGGAAGTATGGCATCTGCTTTTTCCATCTATGTGGCTTTCACTGCTGTGACCTCCCTTCTCCTTCAGGGTATATCTCATTTAGGGTGGCTGTTTTGACTTTTTTTTTTTTTAGTCTCAACCTCCACCTTGTATCTCGTTCACTTGGGGGTCTTTCTCAGTATATGTGGAGCATGCTCAGAATACTCCTTTATGTCTTTGAGACATGCAGATTCTGATATCAAGGGTCTCATGTTTCCTTAATTTCCTGGTGAGAGGATTTTTTTTTTGGGGGGGTGGCTTTTTCTCCTCCTGAGTGGTTTGTTTCTCTTGGACACACCCACACACAACCCCTTCAGTGGATTCTGGTCAATCTGTGCATATATATCTAGAGATCCACTGTCTTTTCACCACACTGGTGACTTGCTTGGTCTCACATGACCCTGGATATTTCTTTTTCTCCACCTCACCTGGACTTGCATCTGTTTGGAGCATCCCAGGTTTTTAATGCACACACATATGGAGATTTTTGTACCTGTGGTGTGTGTAGCATAGATGAAAAACTGTGTAGCTTTGTGCTACACCAAATCTACAAATGCAATTTATCAACTGATGTCTCTGTTCAAGTAGGGTGAATGGATGTTTTCTCCATCCCACCTCTTTTCCTTTTCTTCATTGTACAGTTGTTTCAACCCATATTGTATCATTTGTCCTGTATGGGCTAATTATTGTTATCTCACTTGTACTGCCCCTCTTCAGGGCAATTGACAATATCTTTTCTTGCCATGAGATTACTCTTTTTCTAATAACTTATTTCATTCCAGTTTGACTGGTTGGATTATATGCTTCATCTGGTTAGTTTGTCCTTCTATGGATGATGACATTTTTCATGTCTTTTCCCATCATGTTTGTCATCACATGACTTCTTTTGTTTCTACCCATCTACATCTATTGGATGAAATCTTGCAGGTGGGAATGACCTCAGACACATTAGCATTATATTACTCATTCCGTCTTGTGGTTTCATTTACCCTGGGTGTCATCTCCCTGCAGTTGCTATTCTCCATTCTTCACAGAGGCTTTCTGAAGTTTAGTTGTTTATTTATTTATTTTCTACGGGTCTCACAACCATGTTATCTATATTTATATTATGGGCACAGTGGAACCCACCAAGTGGTTGGTATTATGTCACAGGTGGTTTGGCCAGCTCGAAAGTTCTTACATTCTCCTCTGCATGCAGGTCTGGGGTATTTTCTTCCTGCACCGGATTGTTCTATTAAGCATCTCACATAAGTATTTCTCCAATATAGTACGGCCTGACTTATTGCTTTACATGCACTACACACTCATGCTCAGCTTATGCCTGAGAGATTACTGTTGGGTAAGCAATCTTGCATTCCACCCACTTATGTGACACTTTAGCACCATGCAGAAGGTTCTTTTGAAAACATCACTTGATCTATCACCTTTACTGGACATATAATATTTCCTGCTAGAAAGGATGCATTTTCCCAATGTGCAGTGCTGTAGTATGTTAATGCCCATTTACTAGGTCACATGATGCATGTGTTTTCTCTTTCTCATGTTGTGATTTCAGAACAGAGCTCATCTTTGTAGTTTCTTTATCCCCACTGGCCTCTCCACTCTTTTGGCAGTGTGAGATTCCAGCTCTTTGTTGTGCAAGAGAGATGAGTATATACAAATTTTGAAGTTAACATTTTCCTTACTTGAAAATGTATTTCAGATAAGTACTCATCTCTTTGCATAACCTCCCACACTTCCTTCCCACTTACAGTGTATTAATTTTCCTTCTGAATAATGATTATTTGTTCCACTGCTAGTTCTCATAATGTGTTGCCCTCCTATAGTTTAATGATGGTTACATTAAAGGATGGCACAGTAGACATTAACACATATAGGGGTGGGGGCTTCATTCAAGTCTTGTGCTATGTGCAATAATCTTCACTGCAGTCGTGCAAATTAATAGCCCTTTTTCATGCAGAGAGATAAGTACCTATCTGAAATACATTTTCAGGTAAGGAAAATATTAACATTTTGGTACATGATCACTTGAATAATAATTCTAAACAAAGAAGTTCTGAAGCCCAGGACTTGGTATAACACCTTTGATATTTTGATTAACCACTGCAATGCTGTATAACAGTATTGGTAACATTAAGTTAAAGATTATACTTATGTGTCACATAAACGTTATTTATGTGGAAAAAATTGGGTTGACCTTCTTCCCATGTTGCCATGTTTTTACCTTGATCATGTTATTTGTTTCAAAGCAAGCATTAGTTCTAACTATTTACAGCTTATGCAGTCCAAATATTGTGTAATTCTTAACGATGAAAGGAGCTATATGTACAAATTAAGTTAAGTTTTTTCTTCTTTCCTGTTTACCACAGCAAACAGGGAGTATTACTCTCCTGTAACTTTATACATGTAGATAAGAAAATAAAGTTAGAAACATTTGTGAATTTTTATTTTTCAGTTTCATCTCAAGATCGAAAAATAAGAAATTTTATTATTGGGTAAGTTTGCTTGTTTGATTTCTGAGTATATGTTATATACCTTTTGGGAATGTTCAATAAAATGGCACATCACACAAGTCTAGCACAGTTTTAGGCCAGAAACTCAAGAATATCAAGGGTGGGGGGTCACTTTTTGACCATACTTTGCATATGTTGTTGTGGCAATTTTGCTTATACCATTGTTAAATGTAACCAGTGCTTTTTTTATTAACCTGATGACTACCGGCTACTAACTTTCTTAATAGGCAATGCATGTCTTGCTATATTTCATTCCAACAATAAAACTAGTGGACGAATATTTTCGAAAATTCATAAATACTTTGACAAATGTAGGAAGCTTAAGAAACATAAAGCCTATTACTTTTAATAAATTTAGTTTTTTGCATTATGATTTTTAATATCTTTGAAAATTACATTAGGAAATCGTATTTATAAGAAATGATTACAATATTTATATTTGCTACAGATTTGAACTTATTACTTTTAATGTTTTAATACATTATTTTGAAATCCCCAAAAAATTGTATCTTCCATAAAATGCAAATTTTATCTATTTTTAATTTTTTTAATAATCACGTATACTTCTTATGGTTTCAAGTAATATACAGACCCGTAAATGATACTTGTAAATAAACCTAAACAATAAATGAGTATTTTTATTTTTCACTAGGATTTCATGTTTATATATGTACAT